TTTTTTTTGGCATGCCCTTAAATTTTACCCCTGGGAAGAGTGCCCCAACTTGTCCCACCCTAATCCTGACCCTGATGAGGCTGGTGGAAATATGAATGAACAGAAGACGAAATTTGGCCCCTAACCCATGGCTTCAGGAGATAACAGTGATTTTTTTTTTTTTTTTTTTAAATAAAAGCAGGGTCTCGCCATGTTGCCCAGGCTGGTCTAGAACTCTTGCCCCCAAGTGATCCTCCCGCCTCAGCCTCCCAAAGTGCTGGGATTACAGGCATGAGCCACTGCACCTGGCTTTCATAATCAGTATTGACAAGGTTAGGATCCTGAGGTCACCTGGCTTCTTACTGATACGAGCCCGAAAAGACCAAGGTAAGCAAATATATTTCCTGGTAAATAAATTGGACTAAAGTCCAGGTTGGTTAAAAGCCACAAATCTTTAAAATATTAATGCAATTAAATTAAAATTTTATTCAATTAATTTGAATTAAATGAATTAAATACAATTTTTGTTTCTAACCCACGCATCTGCAGCAGGTGCGGCAATGTGAATGCTCACCTTCCGGAATCCCTGGGTTTTGTTCTGACCAGACCCATGGATGAGCAAAGGATGGAAGAAAACGGTGTCTCCCTTCTCCATCACCAGGTGCACCCGAGCGTTGTTTTCCTCGTAGTCCTGGATCCCGTGGAACATTTTGTTAACTCCCCCCTAGAACAAGAAGCAAGCCAAGTCTACGTTTGAGGGGGTACCGTAATTAAAAACATTGTCAGTGGTTCATCAGGGAAAGCAAACATCAGGCAAAGAAAGCATTTCTTTCTCCCAAGAAAAAGAAATGCCTAAATTAAATGCTTACTTTTTTCAGTATACAAAAGCCTCTCAGATACCTGGTTTTTAAGAGTTACATGTTGGCTGGGCACGGTGGCTCACGCCTGTAATCCCATCTGTTTGGGAGGCCAAGTTGGGAGAATTGCTTATGCTCAGGAGTTCAAGATGAGCCTGTGCAACATGGCAAAACCCCATTTCTACAAAAACTGCAAAAATTAACCCGGTCTGGTGGTGCAAGCCTGTGGTCCCAGCTACTCAGGAGGCTGAGGTGGGAGGATCGATTGAGCCAGGAGGGGGAGGTTGCAGTGAGCCAAGATCACACCACTGCCCTCCAGCCTGGACAACAGAGCAAGACTGTGTCTCAAAAAATAATAGTAATAAAAAAAGAAGTCACATGTTGATATTAAAATCACTGATATTTTTGGAGCAAATGAACAATGTGGAATTTCCACCTGCCCTTCATGACTGCATTATACATGAAGAGCTAGCTTAGTTTTACCTTTCGTGGTCAGTGCAGGCAACCACCTATCTCTTAGGCATTTCCAGCGTAAATCTGTAAGTGTTCTCAGCGTGTTCTCCTCCTCACCAGAACTTTAAATAAATCCTTCATCTCTTACTCAGGAGTGTCTCTGAGAAGCTATTTCCCCAAAATAGAGGGGAGAAAATGCTCAATTTTTCTGAGCTCAAAGACACTTACGTCACATCCAGAATAATGAAAGAATAGTAAATTAAAACACTGTGTTTGTTTGTAACTGTTTCCCAAATTAGTTACTGCTTTAGGTAATGGGGTTATGTTTTATTAAAGAAATTGACCTGAGAAGCACCTTATGAGTCAGAATAAGGAAAGCAGTCCATTCCTGTTCCTAAGCGCGTCCTCAGTTCCTTTCGGTAATGACTACATCCCTCTTAGACAGTGCTGGGACTCGGACCCAGAGCCCTTCTCTCCTGGCCAGGGTGAATGTGTGACCCACACTAAACTAATCATACCTCCCACTCTGCATCTGTGCAGGGCATCTGAGACTCCACACGCTCTTGAAGCCCTGCAAACCTTTCCCTTTGCCTTCCGTCAGCCAAAGCCCACTGCAGTTGTGTGCACCAAACTTTATCTAAACCTTAGCTTCACTGATGAGTTTCAAACGAAATGGTTTTATATCAGGATCCAGACACTCAGATATTTTCATTTGACACTGATTATTGATGCAAGAAATCTGAGACGTTCTTTTATTATTATAATTATTATTGAGATGGAGTCTTGCTCTGTCGCCCAAGCTGGAGGGCAGTGGTGCGATCTCACCCCACTGCAACCTCCATCTCCCAGGTTCAGACAATTCTCCTACCTCAGCCTCCCAAGTAGCTGGGACTACAGGCGCTCACCACCAAGCCTGGCTAATTTTTTTATTTTTAGTAGAAACAGGGTTTCACCATGTTGGCCAGGCTGGTCTCAAACTCCTGACCTCAAGTGATCTGCCCAACGCAGACTCCCAAAGTGCTGGGATTACAGGCGTGAGTCACTGTGTCCAGACGGGACAGGAGTTCTTAAAACCATGTTCCTCATTTCCTATCGAACTACAATTCATTCTCCGTGCTTTAACAATGGGGGCTCTTTCTGTTCACAGCATCATGGGT